TTCCATGAGTAAGACTGATGTATGGGAACTTGTTGAATTGCCTAAAGGTGTAAAGCCAGTAGGATGCAAGTGGGTCTTCAAAACAAAATTAGATGCAAATGGAAACGTCGAGCGCTTCAAAGCGCGATTGGTCGCCAAAGGCTACACCCAAAAGGAGGGAATTGATTACAAGGAGACTTTCTCTCCTGTTTCAAGAAAAGATTCCCCAAGGATTGTTATGGCCTTAGTAGCTCATTTCGACTTAGAGCTACATCAAATGGACGTTAAGACTGTTTTTCTTAATGGTGATTTACATGAAGATGTGTATATGACTCAACCGAAAGGTTTTATGACTAAGGGTCAAGAACATCTAGTGTGTAAGCTTAAGAAGTCAATATATGGGTTAAAACAAGCATCACGCCAGTGGTATATAAAATTTGATGAAGTCATGAAAAAGTACGACTTCTATAAAAATCAAGTGGATCAGTGTATCTACCTCAAAATGAGTGGGGGCAATTTTGCGATACTTGTTCTTTACGTTGATGATATTCTCTTAGCAAGTAATAGTATTGACTTGTTGCATGAGTCAAAGCGATTACTTTCACGACATTTTGACATGAAAGATCTCGGAGAGGCCTCTTATGTCATAGGCATCGAAATACACCGAGATCGGGCCAATAGGACATTAGGACTGTCTCAAAAGGCATATGTGGAACGTATACTCGCACGCTTTAACATGCAACATTGTTCTCCCTCAGTCGCTCCAGTTGTAAAAGGAGACGTTTTTGGCTCATTTCAATGTCCAAAAACGGAATTAGAAAAGGATCAAATGAGGTTGATTCCTTACGCATCCATAGTTGGAAGTTTGATGTATGCTCAAGTTTGTACTCGTCCTGATATCGCTTACATATCCGGTATGTTAGGCCGATATCAGCATAATACTGGCCTTGATCATTGGAAGGCTGCTAAAAAGGTCTTACGATATCTTCAGGGGACTAAGGATTACAAACTGACTTATAAAGGAACAAACGATTTAGAAGTAATGGGATATTCCGACTCCGATTTCGCTAAATGCAAAGACGATAGAAAATCGACGTCGGGATACATTTTTATGATGGCAGGCGGGCCCATTTCATGGAGGAGTCATAAACAACAATTGACCACTACCTCTACTATGATGGCTGAATATGTTGCTGTTTATAACGCAACATGTCATGGAATGTTATTGAGGAATTTGATCAAGGGACTCAAAATAGTTAACTCCATTTCAAGACCGCTGAAGATTTACTGTGATAATTCTGCTGCCGTGAGCTTTTCAAATGGTAATAGTTCGAGCGGGGCTGGATTATATCTCGATACAAAGTTCTTGTTTGTACGTGAACGAGTTGAAGAAAATAATCTTTCTATCGAGTATATTAGCACTCATGATATGCTTGCGGATCCGATGACAAAAGGTCTACCTCCCAAGATTTTTCAAGAACATGTGATGAAAATGGGTTTTAGTCGAGACCTCACTTAATTGGCATAGTGCTCTTATGAACAATTCATGTATATAAATAAATACTTGAATTCTTAATTGTCTATTATATGTATACCGTGCGCACTAATTTTTGGTATCATGGACAAATTAATATTGATTACCACATTACATTTGATCATTTATGTTTAAATGACCTTAATGTCCTAATACATGTGCTATAGTATGATTAGTGGGGGTCCCATATCTAAATAGATGCGAGTGGCTGTACTTCTCTAGTATAGTATAGATATTGGGTATGTAGAACACATAATTGGCCAACTTAACGATTATTGGTCACTAGGCCAAGTGGGAGAATGTTGGAATATTTCCAATTAATATGGCCTAAGACCAATATTAATATGTGTTCTATATTTATGTATTATATATATATATATATATATTTATGTATTATATATATATATATATATATATTATTTGATGGAAATAATACTTAAGGGGTACCATTGTGGTAACACCCTTTAGGACAATAAATGAAAGGTTGTGACTATTGGTTATTTACCAATATAACTACTCCTCCCCTCCCTTATGAAACACACGTACAACACCATCACCAAAGGAGAGAGGATATCACAAATTCCTTATCATTACATACTCCATCTATTACTTGTCCTATAAGGGATTACACATCCATTTCCTTAAAGCAATGGCATCATCTTCTTCCAAAATCTCTCAAATGAACATTGGATACTCTCCAAGTAAGTCTCCATAAATTTACAATTATGATTAATTGTGCAATGTTATTTGATCTTGGTTATTATGATGATTAGTTTTTCTATCATTGTACTAGTATTTTTTGGGGGTAGTTTTGGAAAAAAGTGAGCTAATGATTTTAGTAGTGAAAGAAAAAGTGGTCGATGTATTTAGGAATGGATGGATGTACATAAAAATAAAATACTCCAAAACGTGTCCTATCAAGATTCCAGTACTAGGGTACTACGTAGCACGTAGTACCCTAGTAAAATGATGTAGACCATATATTTCTTTCCAAAAAAGGAAAGGAGACACTTATTTTGGAACAACCCAAAAAGAAAAGTAGGATAAGTAAAATAGGACGGAAGGAGTATATAATTAGTCAATTACCTTAAATTCATGGCTTTTTTGTCACGCATTACGTAAATACAAAAGTTGGAATACTTCAAAGTTTGATCAATTCACGCCACCCGAAAGAAAAACTAATGTTCCATCTCCAAAAATAGTACGTAATACTAGTACTAATGTTCCGTCTTCATTATTTATTTTTGTTTGTAACATATTTTTCTGAAAAAATATGGTATTGTGTCTCTTTTTAGTAAGCTATTTTATTTTTCTAAACAATATATAATACGTTTCTAAATCAAAGTCACACTTTGATTTTACACTTTTTAAGAAAAACAATTTACTATAGAGGTAAATTTTATTATAGAGTACACTGTTCGGCATTGTTTTATCACTGTTTTATATTGTTTTGATATATATTTGTTTGCCAATTAAGGAAGTGTGACTTTGTTTTGAATCATCCAAAAAAAAGGAAAGTGTGACTTTGATTTAGAAACGGAGATAGTAATAAACTTGATCAATCAATTTAACTAATACGGGGTATTAATGTTTTATACTTCTAGAGTTCTAGTAGTTCTATATGTTCATGTTTTTTTTTGTATAAAAGTGTTTTTTTTAGAAAAAACTTTTTCATATTATTTACTAAATATATTTCCCATCAAAATTTAATCTTACTTTCACGGCCCACATACTCGCAAGACACTTGAGCATGTTCAAAAATCTTAAAACCTAACACGCATAATCACAACCTCAGTTGTGATGTCGTCTAGCTGCGCAAACCTTCAGTAACCAAAGCAATTTCCACTTCAATTTCAATTTCAACAGATAAAGACATTTTCTTCTCATAACTTGTGTTTTATAAACGAGACTGGACCAGGCGATTCGAAGTTTCGAACTGGATCCCTGTCACCCTGCCCTGGATTCAGTTAGGGAGAGTTGGAAAGCGCTAATAATATGCATAAAATCGGAACTAACTGTGAGTCTGTGACCCGCCTAAACTGAACCGGACCCAAAACCACTAAGGATGTTTTCTTTTGGACTGAAATTTGCTGGTCTGATCTGGTCTGTTTAAGTCTGGTCTGGTCTGTTCTGTTTATGTCTGGTCTGGTCTGGTAAACGTCTGGTCTCTGTGTATTTTATAACTACAGAAGTCTGATCTGGTCTAGTCTGTTTAAGTCTGTTCCGTTCTGGTCTGGTCTGATTTATTTAAGTTTGGTCTGATCTGGTCTGGTCTGGTCTGTTTAAGTCTGGTCTGGTCTGGGACTGAAAATAGTCCAAAAGAAAATATTTAATGAAACCCGGTTATACTTGGCTAAATTCTTCATTAAAATATTCAATCTCGTATGATCACAGCCTCAACTGTGACCTCATCTAGCTTAGGGAAAAGGCATTTCCATCTAGTAAGTGATTACCCCTCGTCGAGCTCCATACATCATTGGCAGCAACTCAACAAGTGTCACTTCTTACGGAATATATTTAACTACTCCCTCCATCTCGCAAAATAGTTCCCAGTTTTCATTTTGGGTCGTCTCAAAAAATAGTTCTTATTTCATCTTTTGGAAAGTTTTGAGTGGTTCACATTCATTTACTTTTTTCTTACATAACCACAACCATACATTTCCACTTTATTCTTACTTTCTTAAACTCTGATCCAAATCAATACGGGAACTATTTTATGGGACGAAGGGAGTACTTTTTTGCTATGTTGTAAAAACCGGACCGGGAAGCGACCCGGTCGAGCATCGGGTCACGGGTCAGCCCGGACCCGGCGGGTCAACCCGGTCAACACCCGGAAAACCCAGTCAACAAATAAATAGAATTATCATTTTAAAATATACAATTTTTTAACTAAACATAAAATATATATTAAATTAGATGGATATTAAATATCAATATGATGCTTATTAAAAAATGAAATATTATACGGAGTATAAACATTTAACTCATAATATTAGTAATCACATATACTGTATTAATGATGTTATGTTTTTATTGTAATTATTAATTAAAAAGTAAGTTTACTCCATAACAGATACGTAGTATAACATATATCCCGGAGTATATTAAATATGGTTAAGTAACACATTGTACCAACATTCCAAAGCAGCTTCACGGTTTGACGTCTCTCCTCCCTACTTGCACACCCGGGTTTGAATCTTTCTTGGTGCATATTTTTGAGTTAATTCCGGGTTTTAAGAAATTTCCGGGTTTGGGCCGTCGCGGGTTACGATCCGGGTTTGTCGGGTCAACGGGTTTTTCCGGGTTCAGCCACATTTGCGGGTTGGGGTTCAACCGGACCGGATTGGACTCCGGGTGACCGGATTCCGGGTCGACCCGCCCGGTCCGGTCCGGTTCTTACAACATAGCTTTTTTGTCCCAAAATGATGCAAAGACATTTTTTTCTTGGTCAATACAATTTGACCTTATCTCTACTTATTTAATGTACATAGTATGAATTTGTTATTATATTTTAATTTTAATTTTGTGATTATGGAACTTTCAACATAGTTGCAAAATATGCAAATTTGAATCATTAGAATTGATTTAACTATCCACATAAATGATTTAAATTTATCATTAATCAAATTTAAAATTCGCAAACCAGTAATCTTCTTGACAATAATTAATTCATACGCAGTAGTTTGCTTACTCCCCAAGAGAAGAAATAAAATTCCAATGTCCTGCCCATAACGAACAGCTTTGCTATAAATTCCAAACTTCGACGACTAGAATTCCGTTACTTCCGCACTCTCCCAACGATATTCTCTATTCAACAGGCGATTCTGTTTCGCGTTAACATCACATATACTACCGTCCGTATATATCACCTGCACAGCCAACTTAACAAACTCCGGCACTCTGTTCGCCGCCGCCGCCATGACGGACGAATACCACCGAGAACAAACGCTGCCTCCTCTTCACCTGAAGGATCTCAAGGCCATTTCCGCTCTCGGTCGCGGCGCCAAAGGCTTTGTGTTCTTAGTTCAGGCGGAAGAAGACGGCGAATTGCTAGCTCTCAAGGCCATCTCAAGAGCTTCGGTCAAGAGGAACAAGGCTAGAACTGATGGCAGCGACTACCGACGAATCTGGTTCGAACGAGACGTTTTGAGGTCGTTTCAGCACCCTCTTCTTCCGAAGCTGCACGGAGTGGTGTCCACTGAAAAAATCGTTGGTTATGTTATTGATTATTGCTCCGGAGGCGATCTCAATGCTCTCAGAAACAAACAAACGGAGAAAATGTTCTCCGACGATATTATCCGGTTAGTTATTGATCCGTAAATTTCATTAGCTTTTGATTGGAAGATAATTTTTCTTATAATGATTGGAATTCCGCTTAGGTTTTTTCAGATTTTACGCCGCGGAATTGGTACTCGCATTGGAGTATCTTCACGGATTAGGAATAGTGTACAGAGATTTGAAGCCAGAAAACGTGATGATTCAAGAGAACGGACACATAATGCTGATCGATTTTGATCTCTCCACAAAGCTTTCTACAAAAACTCCAGAAATTCGTCAACCTATTGAAAAACCGCGTGATAAGTCATCAGATCGAAAGACGAAGAACACGAAGAAGTTCAAACCATTCCACATGTTATGTAATTCGGGAATTTCGCCGGAGGACATTGTCCATCAGGCGGACCGTCCTTTATCCAGATCCAGCTCAGTGGAGAAGACGAACTCCTTCGTCGGAACAGAAGATTACGTGGCGCCGGAGGTCATTATAGGCAACGGCCACGATTTCTCGGTGGACTGGTGGAGCTTAGGCGTGATGCTATACGAGATGCTGTACGGGAAGACACCGTTCAGAGGCTCGAACCGGAAGGAAACGTTTTACAGAATATTGTCAAAGCCGCCGGACCTTGCCGGAGAGGCGACGGCGTTGAGGGACCTAATTGGGAAGCTTCTGGAAAAGGATCCAGAACAGAGGATCTCCATGCAGGAAATTAAGGGCCACGAATTTTTCAGAGGCGTAGATTGGGAGTCGATTGTAAAAATGCCAAGGCCACCGTTTATTCCGGTATCAACAAGGGATTTTGAAGCTGTGAAGGATAATGAGAAAGAAATTGAGGTGGAATCATACATGGAAGGAATGGTAGCGGAAGGGAGAGTCAAAGATAGTGAAGGGGAGAATAGGAATATTAGAGGCGTGTGGGTTGAAGGATTGAATCATCCCACGCAACAAGAGCATTTTTTGGTTTTTTAATTAGGTTTGTAACTGTTTAATAGCCACCACTAGTAGTCCACTATATACAACATTCTCGATTCATTTCGTAGGGGCGGTTTGGATCTGATTCATGTTTCCGGTCTTTTCAGTGAGTACAAGCAGAAGTAATAGCGTTTGGGTGAAAATACAGAAGTGATTCTGTTACTCTAATTTACTCCTAGTTTTTTAGAAGTTGAGGGAGACCATATTTTGAAAATTGATTCTGATTCTGCTTCTACTTTAAAAAAAACAAGAATCAGTTTGAAACACCCTTAGTGAGTGTTTGCAATTGCTTCAACTTTAAAAAAGTGATTTTTTAAAGTAATTTTGGGAAAAGTGATCAATAGTAAAAGTTGATAGTGTTTGAGAAAAAAGTGATTCTGGAAAAGTAAAAGTTGGTAGTGTTTGGTAAAATAAGTACTTTTTGTGTAATAGAAAAAGTGAGAAGCAGTTTAAAGCACCCTTCTACCTGTTTCCAGCTTTTAGCTTTTAAATGATTAATTTAAGCAGAAGCTGTCATTTGAAAACACTCTTTTCAACTTTTTTTAAGCCAAAAGCTGAAAAGTGCTTTTTTTTAAGCAAACTCAAACACTCCTTTAAAAGTGTTTGCGATTGCTTGTGCTTTTTTAAAGTGATTTTTTTAAGAGATTATTGGAAAAGTGATTTGTAGTAAAAGTGTATAGTGTTTGGGAATAGAAGTGATTTTAATTAAAAGGTAGAAGTTGAAGTGTTTGATAAAAAAGTGATTTTTGATGGAATATTTTGTTGAAGTACAAAACAGCCCCTGCATAAATGAATTTGGGATGTACATTGGTTCTGTTTTCCGGTTCTTTCCTCCGGGGGCGTCATACCCTATTTTATTCCCTTGTCGCAAGTCGGTATTCGGTAAAGCAGAAGCAGGCAAACTCACATAGCTTGACCTGTTTGCCAACATCAAATTAATACCTCTAAAGAATCTGGAGTAGCACCAAGATTGGATGGAGAGTGCCGAAAAGCTACCAGCAAAGGAAGACGGGACGAGAAGCGATGGAAGAAGATAACTGAGAAAGAAGGTTTAGTTAAAATATACGAAGAGCAATAGCAGGCGGAGGAAGAGCAATGGGAAAAAGAAGGTTTTGTACGAAGCTGTAAGGTGAGGTACAACCATGGCAGACAAAGGGATGAGCGAGGATTGAGGAACGAAGCTGACAGGGAGGGAGAGATAATGGAAGGGTAGTTTGGGTTTAATAAAAATATTTAACCTAATAAGTTTCCCTGAAGTTTGAATTATTTACAAAAATACCAAGAAGCTATTAAAAGCATCCCCCAACCTGCTTTGAACTTCTAGCTTAAAAGTGCTTAAATTAATCTAAAATTTGAGTTTGCAAACACTCCTTTTGGCTTTTCTCACAGAAAAAGCTCAAAAGTGCTTTTGAGAAGTGTTTGCAAACACTCCCTTAGAATGGTTGAATTGGCTTTAGAATGTTGGATAAAAATTTGAGTTGAAAGATAGGTAATCCAACTTACAATTTTAGCAATATTCGTTGAGAGATTGAAGTAAGTACGAGTATATTTTTAAATTAGCTCACACGATGTGACTACTTTGCTTCCAATAAGGAGTACAGAGCAGAGTACTATTCAGGTCCAGCTGGAGGGACGGAAGTCTCTGTCCGAACTTCGCCGTTTGGGGTACTTACCGCTGGAATTTTTTGATTAATTTTTTTTACCATGTTTCCCATCAAGTCTAGTTTGGTCATACCAAATTTCAGCTCAAAATTCGATCGTAAAGGCATTCAAATCAGTTTTTGAAGTTGACTGCCAAAATATACATATAAAAACGAAGTCAACTTCAAAAATGATTTGAATGCCTTCCTGATCGAATTTTCAGCTGATATTTGGTATGGACAAACTAGACTTGATGTAGAACATGCTCAAAAACTTTCATCAAAAAATTTCACCGGGAACCGTCCCCAACGGCGGAGTTCGGACGGCGGGTGAATAGGGGAGGGAGGGACTTGATCTTTTTTGGTACGGAGTATTGAAGTAAAATTTGGCGGCCATACCGTTTTCATGACTGTGTACTAGAATATTTTGTATTAATAGACAATGCATACATATGTTTTTGCAGGAATGAAATATGACACATTTTTTTTAAATCCCTTTATTTTTTATTATTTTTCATTCTTATAATTTGCACTATTTTGTTTGAACTCATCTCTACTTTGCTGCCAGTATTTTACATTCTTTTAAATTTATCACTTTATTATTTTTGAGATTAATATGAGAGTTTTTTTTTTAAACAAGATTAATATGAGAGTTAAAACAATATAACATTAATTATTCACATTTTTAAAATACTATGAGTATGTATTAAAACCTTCTAAAAAATTAATAAACAGATACTTTACGAATAACATGACAAACACATAGAGGAACCCTATTAATCTGGTTGTTTCATTTTCATATGAAAATTATTACGGAGTATCATCGATAATGGACTAAAAGAAAACTAACATATGTTACAGAGATGAAAAAAATCGCAAATTGTAATATAATCAAATTCACAATGTTCACTCCACAATACAAGAAGTTTCTCTACAACCACGCTAAATGACAAATTACTTCTCACTTGAAGATATGTTAACTGAAAAGTTTTCATACTCATTGTTTGATTGAATGACTGACAAACCTCAAACAACAAGTTTTTATTCAAGAAAAAGAGAATGCAAATACGTCTGATTTAAAGCCGCCTCTATGAGAAGACATACTTAACTCATAGTCCTGGTGACTATCTGTGAGAAGCCTTTTTTAGGTCTCATAGCACCTTAGAGCTTTATTTATATCTAACATTTCATGTTTAAGAAGTGAAAGACTTGATATTCTCAAATAGTGAAAGGACTACAAAGGGATGTTCACGATTTATAAATAAGGGAGAAGGCTCAAAAATAACACTAAAGTTATTTACGGAGTTCGGATTAGACACTAAACTTTTAAATAGACCAAATTGACGCAATTTATACGTTTTTATGTCATATTAGGACACTCATTACGTCATACTTAAATTTAACGGCCGTTCCCATCAATTATCTTCACCCAAAACCCAATTCAGCACCGGCTTTCATTTCTTCTCCGGTAGAACAGACTTAATCAGAAGGAAAAAATTCCACTTTTGGTCCCATGACTATTATACCACTTCCACATTTAGTCCCTTACTTTCAGATTGTCCACATTTAGTCCGTGACCATTATCCCCTCACCACCCCTCGTCCTTCCGGCCAAAATTCCGGCAAATTTAATGCCCATTTTAGGTATGAAAAACCAAATTTAATGCAAAGACTGGTATGAAAAACCTAACTTGATGCAAAATTTAATGCAAAGACTGATTCTGAGGCTGAGAAGCGGACTAAATTTGCCGGAATTTTGGCCGGAAGGACGAGGGGTGGTGAGGGGATAATGGTCACGGACTAAATGTGGACAATCTAAAAGTAAGGGACTAAATGTGGAAGTGGTATAATAGTCATAAGAGCAAAAGTGGATTTTTTTCTAATCAGAAGGCTTCGCCCAAATCAGAAGCTTTTAGCCAAGTCTTCGCCCAAATCAGAAGCTTTCAGCCAAGTCTCCTAAAAACCCAAATCCCACATTCCCACACATATACCTTTTCCCTATTCGACCAAATGAAAACCCAGTTGCACTCTGGCCGGCAGACCTACAGCTCTATCAAGACCCACAACTTGCACTGGCAATTGGATAGATCAATGGAAACAGTAGCAGAAGAGCAATTGAATGACCAAATTCCTTGTCTGTGAATTAATTCAACTTAGTTGGCCTAGATTGGGAAGTTCATCCATCTTGTGGTAATTTTTCTCCTCCCACTGTTTTGAAACAACAATATATGTGAATTGATGGTCAAGCTACGATTTTCATTCATTTTGGAGGCAAATAATGATATGTTTGGACTCAATCTAGCGTAATAAAAGAATGAAATGCGAACACATTTTTGTCTTGGACTCCGCTAGAAGATGACTCCATGAAAGCAGTTGTTGGCGGAGAACGGAACGACGAGGGTGGAAGGAGAAGGTGAGGCCGGGAGCCTGGGACTGCTTGGAGGGCTCAACAGGTACGGTGTCGAGATGTAAATTGAAGAATCAAGATACTGGGAGGATAGCAAAAGATTGTGAACAGACCATATGCGTGGAAGGAATGTTTGGTGATGGAGGAAGTGAAATAGGGAAGCGGGGTACGAGGATAGGGTTGACTAAGCCAGGGAAGAACCGTTGTTATTGGCGTGGGCGGTTAACAACGGGTTTAACGGAATTATAAGTGGGTGGCTAAATATAACCAAAATAAGTTGATTTTGTGTATTTTTGGTCTACTTAAAAGTAGGGGTGAGCACGGTACGGGACGGTTATTTCGAAAAACATGTCCCATCTCAAAGTACAGTTCTTTTAAAAATAAAAAACCGGTACCATCCCGCACATATAAAGAACTTGTCCCGTTCCGTACCATTTTTCGGTACGGTTCTTCGGTGTTATTTAGTTCTTAAATAATTAACCCCGTGAAATATAAAAAACTTTACATTTTAACATTTATAAATAATTGTACAAAAATTTAAGAGAAGAACTTGCAAGACTACATTTAATGGATCTTGTGTGATCAAATTGAAATATGAAACTAATAATCAAATTATAATAAAGAAAATTAACATCCAAACTAAAAAGACAAAGTAATCGTCAAACTGAAAAAACAAAAGGTATCACATCACATGACAAAGAATATGCAAGATTGCATATTTGTAATATACGGACATGCAGTCACTAACAATTATACTCGGTCTAATATATTATATATATCATATATAATATTAATATATAATATGTGACAAATCTTCATGTCGGGTCGGCCTAACGGGATGCTCCTTCCGGCCGAGGGCATTTCAGGCACTTCCCGGAGGAATTTTTGATAAAATGTTTTGAACATGTTCTTCATGAAGTCTAGTTTATCCATACAAAATTTCAGCTAAAAATTCAATCGGGAAGGCACTCAAATAATTTTTTGAAGTTAACTGGAACTTCAAGAAATTATTTGAGTGCCTTCCCGATTGAATTTTTAGTTATCCCATATTATATTATAACACTAGTTTTCAGGACAATTCGGGATGGTACGAGACGGATCGGTTCAGTACGGTTCCGGGACGATTCCGAAACGGTTCTCACTAAGAACCGGTATTGTACCATATTATTAAAAAAGCTCGGTACGGTACAGTACTGTATTACATTTTTTCGATTATGTCGGTTCTGGAATGGTTCGGGACAGTTCTTCAGTACGGAATGAGAATTCCCAGATCCGCGCTCAGCCCTACTTAAAAGTTTAATGTCTTATCCGAACTTCGTAAATAACCTTGATGTCATTTTTGAACCTTATCCCTACAAATAATGGCAAAACAAGTGTTGATAGGTTGTTAATAGGGGTGGACTCGGGCCGGTTCGGGCCACGGCCGGGCCTCCAATTCAGGAATGGGGGAGCTGAACCAGCCAGGCCGGTGCATGATTTGGGGGCCCGAGCCTGGACCAGACCCTAACGGGTCCGGCCTACCCGGACCGGTCACTGACTGGGCCACCGGGCCGGGCCGAAACACTGTCAATTCTGAGTCGGGCCACCCAGCCCGAATCCACCCCTAGTTGTTGGAGAACAAGAGTTTAATGCAACCGAGAACATCGAAATCGATTGTAGAACAAGATTGAGGGTTGGTTTGCAACTCCTTTTAAAAAAGTACTTCTCAACTTTTGGCTTTAAAAAAACACTTATTTCCCTTAACACTACGACTTTTATTTTTCTCGGGCCCGGGTCCAAGCCAAATTGGTTAGGAGGGGTTCCACTCGGCTTGGGCTTGATGGTTAGGAGGGGTTTGGGGGTGGGGGTGAGGAAAGCAAAAAAAAAAATATAACCAAACCAGAGGCCCGGACCAGTCCCAGGCCCACCAATTCCAAACTGCCAGCCCGCCCAGGCCTAGGCCCAACCCAAGCCCGACCCCGGCCCAAATCCACCCCTGTTACGGAGTACCTAAGACCGGTATATAATATTTAGCAAACAGCGATGGGCCAGTCCTGGACTACTACCAGGTACACCCTTAGTTGTATTGAATATTACACCTTATAGTTTTTCGTACTCCGTATTTCATTAAGTGCTACACTAAGTTCTACAAAATTGTGTCGTGGTAGAGCTATTTGGGTTGAGAAGAAAACAAGGGTCAAAGGGTCAAATGGTGAAAACCTAGTTGGGAATAAAAAAAAATGTTGGTGATCTTAAATTATCGGTAAAAGGATAAGGAATAGAGGTTAACACTGCAATAAAAAAAATGTTGAAAACCCTCAGCTGGGTAGATAAAAACATCAAGACACATTTGCAAAGGAAAGAGATGTGAAGTCTATAATATATTAAAGAAATGCAACAAAAATTTGACATACGGTCAAGGTGCAAAAAAAGCACAAAAACATAAATATAATACTAGGTTGAGGAAACACATCTCTGAAAACACTACATAAAAGTTGATCACTCATCTTCCTGGCTACGAAGCCTAGCCAACTTGTTGGTGACAACAACATCAAGCTGTGCTGCACGTTCGACAATTTCCTTCCTTTTCTTGGTAGACACATTGTGTGCAATCTCTGCACAGTAAGTCCTGCCGTTCAAGAAAGCACACATCGCAGTTAACGAATGACTCAAACACCAATCGACTTGAAAAAGAAACAGTTCAAATGTATCAAAACCTGTTGTGCATCATCAAAAGTTCCAACTCCTTGGCATTATGCACAACAAACTTTTTAAAACCATTAGGCAGATAGTGGCGGGTCTTCTTGTCAGAACCATAACCAATGTTTGGCATGAGAGTGCATCCCTTGAACTTTCTACGCACACGAGAATCGATACCCTTGGGCCTCCTCCAGTTTTCCTGGCAGAAAACAACCAACCAGTCATGAAATTAGACAGAACGATTAGTAATTATTGCTATGAATTTAACACTTCTTAAGATAATACTCTCTGTATTTAGCCTTTCATATGACATGTCATTCCAGGTTGATGGCTTCTGTGAATAAGTCAAGATACGGCTTTATTGGTCCTTTTGAGTTGGGTGATTTAAAGCAAACTGGGCAAATTTAAGTGACCCTAAGTTTTGTTAAAAGTGGGCAAACCTTGGTGCACAAAGGTGCATATATAAATTTCTTAAATAATTATCACGTCATACACGTGAAGGCAAGTTAATAAGGTAAACTATTGTTTACATGGGGTTGACGTAAATGATTATATTACAAGTGGTTATATTACATTCACTTGTAACCTTAACCTCCCAGAACTTAGGATATAGAAGTATTCAGATACTGAGTTCATGAAGATTTTTTGAAAGATTTTTAAGACAAACTAGGCTTAATTTAACTCTAGGTCTTTTAATTAATAATATAGAAAACAAACATGATGAGCCTAGAATGATACATAGAAGAACTTAGGTTCAATTCCAAAACTTACAATCCGTAAATATGAATATTTCTGAACGAAGAAAAATCTCACTATCTAAAGGTAGGTTGACAATAACAAAAAACCAACTCTAGCACAACGTTACTTCATATGATTTTTTTGGACAAATACCACCCTGTTCTTTATTTCTAATAACTTCCACTATCAAATGGCATACACAATGCTAAAACTAATAAATATGACAGAAGGCATATGACCCATAATACCCACGTATGATTACTATAAACTTAGAAATTGAATCTCAACAGTGATATATTCGGCACTTAATGAGAATATGTAAGTAACAATGACTATAAACACGAGGAGATGTGAAGCACACCTTGACAGAAATGTATCTGTCACTTTGTGGCCTCTTGAACTTCTTGACACGCTTCTTCACGATCTTTTTGTCAAGCAATGGGACGGCCATTTTTCAACCTACATATATAAACGATTAGCACCTAACCATACCCGTATACAACTAAGCAGAATAAAACACTGTTAGGTAACAATAATCAGAAAACTAACATTCCTTGAGCTCAATTGCAGGAAACATAAAATTTTCGTCAGGAATCAAAGGCCCTTAATAAATACAATGAGGCACATATTTCAAATCGATGAACCATCACTATGTCCACCATAACTTTCGGATGACGCAAACTATTTCAAACCATGGAAGGTATTGAAAATGAAGAGGAAGCATGGTTCTCTAGATCTAAGGCTATGGAAACTAAAGATGATAAATTGCAATACCTGATGAAGTGGGAGAAGGCGTAAGAGCTCCCTGTGAACGCGAAGTGGGAGACGGCTGCAAGACTGGGTAGGGTTTAATATTACGTCTATATATAGAGAAGAAATTAAATGGGCCGGCTCTTGTGACCGATCGTTGGAGCAACCTGACTATTTGCCCATCCAAATATTTACTTGCTTCTTTTGCATTTAGATCTGGGCCCATTTATGGAGATTTTAGGAATAATTTTATTCACAACTCTCAAATTATTATTCACAGTGATTAATTAATTATTAATGAAAATATATCATTAAAAATAACTTAACCCGTAATATTAATACATTCAAACATCATCATAAAATTATAATGATTCAATACTATGTTTTTATAATCGCTACATTTTATATTTATATTAATCATTTAGTCTTCAATTATATTTTTTGTTATTAGTCTCCAACCATATAATATATACTCCCTCCGTTCTCTAATAGATGGGAGTATAGTCTTTGGCACAAGATTTAAGAAGGAATTAATAGGGGTAGAATAAAAGGTATAGTGGGTTGTGTGTAAAGGAAAAAATAGGAAAGAGAATGAAAAAGTAGGAAAGAGGATGAGAGTAAATGGGTATATTTATTGGAAAAACTTACCAAAAATGGAAAGGGAGACAATTAATAGAGAACATCCCAAAATGAAAAGAGGGCCAAGTATTAGAGAACGGAAGGAGTATTATTATTATTAATGTATATCATTCTATTATAGATCAAGAGAATACATCATTAGTGTATAAAATATGGAAGTTTTTTACTAATCCTAACTGAAAGTAATTGTTTAGATAATCCATATGTGTGTTGTAACACTGTCCCCAATTATATTTACTTTTAAGTGAATAATGTATTGAACTTTATGGAATGGTTAATGAATTTACGGAGTTGTAAATTTTTATTAATTCTTTCGCGTGAATAGTAAATTTACACGTGGGGCCCACACCGGGAGTGGGGGCCGCCTGATATTCCCGAGACCATATATTTTATTCATCTTGGTCTAGATAATCTTTATATGGTGGTGGATATTTCATTTGGGCCATGGAAAGGCCCAGAGTTGACCGATTGGTCAAAAGAGACCCAATTACCAGTATTGGAAATTTACCAGGTAACAGCCTGAAGTGAAATTCGGAGGCTTATAAATTAAAGTTGGAGAATGTATATATTCATTCTAAATGACATAATGATTGAAAACATATAATATATTTTATTTGACCCGATAAAATAAAATATATTTAAAACAGTCCAAAAAATACAACTTTCGGGACAGATTGTACACATCGGGACACAAAGGGATGACCTCCAACATGAGTGGGGGCCACCCCACGTTTTTGTGTGCTAGAGTAGACAAATATGAGGCTGTTTGACTTGGAAGGAGAGAGGTGATGTAATGAGCATCAAACGTACACCCATGGACCTCATTTTCCTCACTCATTGGTCCAAACAAGACAAAAGCCACTCATCTACTCTCACCACCTCCATTCATTCGACCACCACCCTTTAAGCAAGAGAAAACCTCCCATAAATTTACATTCTCCATAGCCAAACTCGTGCTCCAACTCAAACAAGAAAGAAGAAATAAGTTTAATGAAGAAAAAGGGAGGAAAAAACGTGTTGATTAATGTAATGACCTTATATTAGTTTTTCCTTTATTCTTTAACTACCATGTGACTTATATAGCATATGAGGAACCCTTATAGTAGCTCTACATTTTTATAAATGTAGAAGGAAGGGTTGAGAGGGGGTTCCAAGTCCAAGAACGGACTTAGGAGCCAAAATAACCGGTTCGCCGGAAAATAACCTTTTAGAGGTTATTTGTATTAATTTGGGTTTTATGATTATAAAACCTTGTTAGGGACTTGTATAAGGTATTTCAAGAGATTTCACGGAGTTGAAAGAGTCGCCGGAGTTAGTTGCCAGGGTTCATCAAAAGTCGCCGGAGTTTCGCCGGAGTTCAACCAAGAGGGGTGGAACTTCATAACGTTAATTCGAGGTGAGGATGACCGACTATATTGATTATAATTATTGGGTTAATTTCATAAGATTACCAAAATGAATGAGATGTGTTTGGCATGGATTATTAACAATTAAAAATGCCTATATGAAATTATTATTGTTTATAAGTAAAAATGCATAATATACAAATTTATGAATAAATTGTGTATGATTATGCGTTATGAATATAATGGCATGATAGTTGTATTAACCATGAATTTCATTGTGATAAATATACTTTTACCTCAAGTAAAGAAGTCATGGAAGGATAAAAGTGATATTTTGATATTAGAGTCAAATTGTACTTGAATGTAAAATTAATTTGAAACAAACGAACTATTATGAATTAGAACTTGGTTATATTAAGATTAAACGACTAGTATAGAAATACTAGTCGGGAATGTTAGTTCAATTATTCTTTGGAGCTAATCTCAAGATATTGAATTGTGGTGGGTACGCCCTAAGTAACCTTAAGAGATACTTTTAAGGTGAACTTTATGAACTCCAAGTTACATTAGGAGTAGGCCTTAAGGGTTACTCAAAATGAATGGAGTCTAGGCTAAGAAATTGTTTAAAGATTAGATGATATGACTATGAGCCGAGCAATGTAGTATGACTATGAGTCGAGCTCTAGCACAATGCAGTATGACTATGAGCCGAGCTCTAGCACAATGTAGTATGACTATGAGCCGAGCTCTAGCAAAATGTACGTAGTATGACTATGAGCCGAGCTCTAGCAAAATGTAGTATAACTATGAGCCGAGCTCTAGCATGAAAGAACGTGGGTTAACTATAATATAATAACACCCTAGACTGAGGGTCTTGGAAATTGAAACATTGATTATACCTAGTATAGTTGTCATTGTACTTTTCAAATGTTTCAAAGTACTGACCTCCCCTTCACGGGGGAGGCCACCTCACAGTTGCAGGTAGAACTTGAAGGTTGCTAACATCGACGTTGCATCGGAAAGATTCAAGGAGAGAAGACGTGGTTCGTGCTTCCTCCGTTCCCATTTTAAAACAATTATATTTAATGCTCATGGATATTATTTCCGAATAACTATTTGAGGGCTTGCATGCCCAATTTGCCAAAGTGTGGCTTAACCACTTGTACTAAATGTTTTCGCTGCTTTAATGAATGATTTACATTATGCTTGTTTATGGATGTTATGTGTGAATGATATTTCAAACGCCTCGTATAGTATGGATGTGTTGGACTGCGGTTGACTATTCATACTAGACGGCGGGTTATTGACGTGTCCAGATAGGTCCGGGGCGTGACATGTGTATTATCACACTCTTAATATATTAATTGACCATTCCTTCAATCAACTAATGTAACATTGAAAAGTATACAAAAATCGTTTTTTTTAAATCAGATGCACATGCGAGTATACTAAATATATTAAATATCATACATGTGTTGAGTGCATTGAAATAATGTACTTTATTACTAAATGTGCGTTAGATATTTTAAACAACATGATTTGTAATATTTAGTTTGGTGCTTGTAAATATAATTATCAAGAAACAAATCATGTAGAATCATTATAAATTTATGATGCTATTTTAGTGTATGAATTTGAAGGGTCAAATTAATTTTTAATGATGTTTTATTTATTAATTAATAGTTCATTGGTGGTCATGAATAGCAAAATGAGGACTCTGAATAGAATTTCCCATAAATTATACATCTCGATGGGCCGACTCGCGGGATATCTCAGGAAAGAATCGCAGTCTAACATCATAACGTAAGTATCTTATCAGTGTTTTACATGCTAACTTCTGTGTATCGTTCTATTATAGATGAATGCGAAATAAAAGCTCAAGTACATTTGTTTTCATAGATTCTATATTGATTAATCTTGATTACATTCACACCAAAAGAAATGCTATAATTAGTATGTTGTTAACATATAAAATGGATATTTTGATAAGCAATATAAAATGGTAATTCCTACCGGCCTATTACCTAATGAACACAATGGTGTAATTTAGTATTTATTTTTTCTTCCGAATTCTGGAATATCATATTACTCTTGAACAATAGCATATTACTCTTTATTCAGCACATATTAAGTGTAAATCTTAACTAACACTATTTAAGTCATTGTATGATTGAACTTGTGTTCATAAGAAGGAAGTATTACGGAAAGTAACAAGTTTTGCAAAGATTGTTATGTGAACTATTGTTGATGCTTTTTGTCAAACACTTTGTAGCCGTGAAACCATTTTTTGTCAAGAAGGTGATCTTTTTGAAGCAGCAAATTGTTCGTTTGTAGCAACATTCAAACAAGGGTAAACCTCGAGGGTTGGAAGACTTCGAGTTTTTTCCCGGAATAATGTTAAATAAATAAATAATTCCCAAAATACTGTTGGGTTAAGAATAATTCCCAAAATACTGCTGGGTTAACCACGGTTAAAGTAAGCCGCCACTCGAAGTGGCGGCTTTTGTGAAGATGTACAAAAGCCGCCACTTCGAGTGGCGTCTCTTGTACTTCTGTACAAAAGCCGCCACTTCGAGTGGCGGCTCATTTATCAGCACTAAAACCCCCTTCTTCCCAATCGACGGAAACGACAGACGAACTCCAACCCCTCTGCAGCGACCGACGAAGGCTAACATCTCCTCGGATTCCGGCCAGATTTCGTCCAAACGAAGCTCAAATCAAAGGGAAAAGACTCGTCGTGTACCTGAGGTCGTTTGTACTCCATTCCTGCGAGTTGCTACAGCTTGAATAGAGGTATTCTACCATTTTTGCTAAACCTGGGTTTTTTTATTTTTTTGTTCGAAATTACTTGGTTTTTTAATTAGTTTCTTTGTATTTGATGTTGTGAAATGTATAAGTTCTTAATGTAGTTATTATTATGATTGACTTTATATGATTTGTTAAATGTGAATGATACCAACGTAACTTCCACCTATTTTTGCTAAAGCTAGGTTTTTTAGGTATTGCTCCAAATAGCTTGAAATTGTTATTGTTTTGTTGAAAATTGTTGTTGTTTTGCTTGAAGTTGTTGTTGTTTACAGGTTTATTAACAGATTTTGATTTTACTTTAACTAATTAAATAATGGTAATTAATCATGTGTTAATTTGTTGCCTTTTCATCAGTCCGCATTTTTAACCCGGTTAATTATTATGAGTCCTTA